CCCCCCGTCCTGGCCGGTCAGATTGTCCCAGCCCCAATCCCTCCCTCCTCCATGCCCCTTTCCTCCACCCACTACAACAGATTTACCAGCTGGAGGCAGCTGTGTCCAGCATGGTGAGGACTGCTGCTTATTTAGTCTATGGCTGATTCTCCGAAGTGGCACTGAATCTTCGGATCCAATTTGGCTGAATCGAATCAGGATAGTGGTTTGAATCTCCGAATTGAATTGCAGTTCCTCCGAACTGGCCAAATCTGAAGAGAATACTTGCCACTTCACACAGGCCCAGTGTCTAGAACTAATCACATTATTTTAGGTACAGTCACATCAGAACCTTGTGAAAGGTGACTCTATCACTTTCCTTCAAAATAATCCTATTTAGCATTTTTGTGATTGAGTTCATTACCACCCTTATGGTTCTTTCAGCTTTACTGCTCTCCAGATTTCTTCCTACCATTACATGTTTCAGTTTCTTTTCCTCTGTGTATTAATATGCATCTTTTCCAGTTAGAAACATTAGAATGAAATTAGAGAGATATTTAACTACTTGGAATTCTTTTGTATTACTTTTCTGTCTTTAATATTCACAATGTCTCACATTTAGTGTCCTCTGTAAATGTAGCCAACACGTGTCCTCTTTCTTTCAGATCATCATCTAATAAGTTATTAGAAAGTTGTTCTTTAAACACAAGGAGATTAAGTCAATTTGAAATTGTAACTTAATATGTCAGGTAAAAATGGTGTACTACGCCTGGGTTATTTTGGCTATTTTCAAAAACGCTGCAAGTCACAAGTTGCAATGATAAGACTTAAAATGTGTGTTGTTGCCAGAAGAGCACAGTTGAGAGAGAGGCTCCTAAATAAATATGGGATTGTTCAAAGTTCGTTAATCAGTTTGTTAACTCCAAACTTCACTTCATTATACAGTCTTCAGTTTAAAAAAAGCTCATTTGTACCTCTGGTATTTTCTGTATAGGAGCACCCCGATTGAAATGTCAAGAGCTTCTAAATTATATCATCAAAATAGTGAAAGATGCATCAAGCTGCGCTGTTTATGGAACTGACTGTAGTAGCATGCTACTAAAGGATGTTCTTTCAGAGAGGAAATATTGGTGTGAAATATCACCATTACAGTGGTCAGGTTAGTATATATTACTTCTAAGTCTGTATACAATATATATTTCCTACCATAAAAATGCATGCTTGGTGGTGGTTTATTCGTAATGCTTCTGGTACTGTACAGACACAGCATGTCAGATGGCCCCTAACCCAAATAGACAACATAGACAAAAGGCATGTGATATTCCTGTAGCATATGCATCAGGTGGCCATGCCCTGACTCGGGGCAATGCAGGCTGGGGAGCCCTCATGATTCCGCTTGCAGATGTGTGCCATGGGAATCCCTTACAGGGATCCCAAATTGGCACGTGGCAGCATGATACGTGTACAACAGGAGTTCCCTTCGGAGTTTCCTGGGTGCATATATGCAAGCTTGGGGCAGCTTGGGGCACCTGGGGCCATTGCCTCTCACAACTGGGTCCCTGAAGCCCAGGGAGCAACAGGGGCTCAGCCCTAAAGGACAGTGCTTGCAGTGATGTCTGGAAATGCCAGTGAAGTGGATCAGTTGTGCTAGGACATCCAACTCCAAAGACAACTCCTGTTAATAGTCTTAATGTACATTTGTATCTGGGATATTTTTGAGTATTGGATGATGTGGTTTCTCATGCATTTAATTTACTGAGAAATATTACTTGTATTTTGGAAGGTCCCAAGCAGTATTGGAACCCCACTCTTATGCTCTGTACAAATGTTTTAACAAAGCAGGACCTGAAGAATTTATAGTTTGATGCAAAAAACAGGAAGCATTGGGAAATGGGGTGCGACCTACAAACTGTATTCAGGGTTCAAGTATGCACATGGTTTCCTAGTTACTTTTCTGTGGCATGGTTTTGCCTCTAGGACAGGTAACATGAAATACAGAAAAGAGGGACACCATCTAAATAAGTAAAATGTTGTATGCACAAAACTTGAATTTTGATTTAATACACGACTGCCCCCCCAGTCAATCCAGTATCATTAGTCAGATTTATTAAAAGCATCACATCCTGAAGAAGGATGAGAAGATGAGGAAGTTGGCCTCACAGAACTGTTTAGGGCTGGATTGCATGCATAAATTTAAAAAGAAATTGTAGAACAAATTGCACTAACTCCAGATAAAGTGCCTTGGGATTGGAGATTTCACGCTCATGAAAATAGCATGAAGAAAATACTGTGGTAGAGATTTCATCCCAATGCTCTTGTCTTGTATTTATTAATATAACCATACAAATATATCTAATTTTTAGCCCTACTGAAAAATGAACTTGCAATTTTTACACGAACAAAAAAGTCATAGTCTTACCATTAGCAGAAAAATTCAGTATTACTGAATAGCTCAGTATTGTTTTCTAGGTAGACTTGATAACACTATCTATTATTAAGGTTCTCTTTCAGTTCCCATTATAAGTCATTTTGTATTAAGTTTAACTTTGCCAAACTTAAACCACCCAGTCTGCAGCTTTTCATGGTAAGTGCTTGTATCAGGTTTCTGTGTTTGTTTGTTTTTTCTTTTTTAAGTCTTTTTGGGGAACAAATTGGAAACAGGTTGTTTGGCTTGTATTAAAAATACCTGGAAACCATTCTTTGAACTGGTTTGGTGCCTCTGTGTTTTGAATCAGGACTTGGGTATACCATATTTACTCAATTATAAGATGATTTCCCCCCCTTCCAATTCAACGTGGGGAAAATCAAGCCTTGTTTTATGATCGCATACAACTTACGTAAAACCAGAAATTGCACATAGCCAGCCAGGAGTGGGTGCCTCAGCTCCCCTCAGCATGCAGGGCTTGTGGCTGGCCAGCGCAGGGTCACTCCAACCTGCCAGTGTGTGCCTAGATGCTTTGGCACCTCTGACTGACTGGAAACCCCACACACAGCTCAAAATGCTATTCTAGTACTTTTCTTAATATTAATTAACACCTCTATCAGAACATATGAACTTCCTCTATTATTTGCAGGTGATGATGATGATATACCTCTCAAAAGTTAAGGGAGCCTTTCCAGTCACAGTTCAGGAGCAGAAAACTTCTGCCTGAAATAATTGCTCACCCTTGATATAGGCAAAGCCTCCTGCTGTCAGAATATCACCAAAGCCTTCCAGTTCCATGGGTTGGATCCAATGGCTCTGTGGGCCCAATTTAACCTGTGGGCTGTAGGTTGCCGACCCCTGATGTAGATGACCAAATCTGGTCATCCAGAAGTCCAGAAAGAGAATAGAATGCTATCCTTAGCATTCACCACTCTGTTAAAAAAGGCAAGAGTAATGTATACAATCTCAGAGCTGGAAAAAAAGAAATTAACTTTTATGAATAATGACCCTAATGAGTATGGTGTTGCAACCAAATGAATATTTTCATGATCCAGCCAAAATCTTTTACTGCAAATGAATAATGGTGCCTTTTCTATAATTAGCTGGTTAAAATTACATATTCAGATTGGTTTAAGGCATAGCTTTGCATACATTAAGGAAATGATGTATGATTTTGCTTGCTTTTTTTAATGTAAGTTTGATTTTGGATTATGCTTACAGAACTACTGACCCTGTACTGCAGATTGTATCTCAAACCTTCCAAGGAGATTAACAGAGTCTTGGTGGCTAGAATAATTCACACGTTAACCAGAGGATACTGCTTCCAAACTGATGGACTAAATATCAATATGTTTTCCTTCTTTTCCAAAGCAATGCAGTGTGCAAGGTAACATTCAACATCTTACCCTATGCCTAAGTATTACATTTTCTAGGGTAGTTTGTCCTAATTGCGGTGGGACTGAATTCTGATTCTACTCTTAGACACGTTCTGTCTGCTCAGAATTTATGAAGAATAAATCTTTTCTATACTAATTCTTGTGTTCTGAAAACTATTTGAATTACCTATATGCATTAGAATATAAATTAAGCCTTTTTTATGTACTGCCCTTACTCAAAAAACTATTTGAGTTCTTACTTTTGATTGCAGAGACTTTTTAGAATGGCAGAATTACTGGTTATGATTTTAATGCTTCCGTGTTAATGATAGTTGGCTTTTTGCTGTAGGCAAAGTGTTTGATTTATGTTACAGGGAGGAGAAGAACTCTGCTGGCTTGGATCACATTCTTGCGGCAGTTAATATCTTCTGCAGTGTGTTTGCTGTGAACTGTCGTATACAAGTTTGTAAGCTAGGTGAAGAAATTCTTCCTAAGGTGCTTTATGTATGGACTCAGCATAGACCCAAAGATTCCCTGAAGGAGCTAATAATTGAGTTACTTAATCTGCAAGTTCAAATTCATCATCCAAAGGGAGCAAAAATCCAGGAAAAAGGTAAATAATAAATGATTTTCCTGATTTTGCTTTTCTAATTTTAGCACAATTCTGTGTGATAGTTTAAATTGTCCAAGCATAAAAGTGGTCACTTTCACTAGTAGACCTGGAGAATATTCATAGCATAACTATTGCCTCTCAGTAGTTTTCTGCAGTGGTTGAATTTGAGTATGAGATTTTTTTATGATTATTAATTGTAGTACAGTGGGATAGATACTGTACAAGAAGGCAGTATCTCTGGCCCAAATGGGAGAAAAACACTTAAAGCTTGGCAGAATGGATACAGCATACAAGAATGGGTAGTGTGTAGATTAGCCATTATCTTTCCATCCTGTTTGATAGATATTAAGGCTAAAAGTAGCCATTATGAACATCTAGTCAGAAGCTCCACGCCAAAGAAACTTGCCATATACAGGAGGAAATACCACTGCCCTGTTTCTATTTGATATTTTCCTCTTTATAAATCCAAACATCCTGTTTACCCTGTTCATGACATCCTTACACTGGGAACTCACTCGCTGATCTACTCTACAGTGATCTATGCTTCCTCTTTAGTGTAACTGTTTCCCAGGTTACAGTTCCACCTCTAATAAATGTGATCTGTGTTCTTTGCATTGTTCAGTCTATAGTAAAATACAGCACTGATTTTTGTCCAGTATTATCTGTTTGCCTACGAGCTTGGAGTGTCGTGTTGTATCTTGAAGCTGTCGCACTGTAGCTAAAGGGCATATAGCACTAAAATATTTCTCCATACATAGGTGCATATGAGTCAGCAAAATGGCAGAGTATCTTACACAACTTGTATGATCTGCTGATGAATGAGATAAGTCTCATTGGCAGTAGAGGAAAATATTCTTCAGGATCACGTAACATTGCTGTAAAGGAAAACTTAATTGAATTAATGGCTGATATTTGTCATCAGGTAAACTGTAATTATTCCATATATTTTCCCAATGTAAGTTTGATTTAAGTATGATGCTACACATGTTCCATTTTTCTATTAATAGGGCGTTATATCTTTTTTCAAGATTTTTTAATGATATTTTAGTTTCATTAGTGCCTTACCTAGCAACATTCCTTTTGACATCAACAGAACAGAGCCCACCTGTTCATGTTATGGAAAACTCCCTACTGAAAATTTGCATTAACTTGCTCCAGAATACTCCCTATTGGCAAGTGGAGTGCTGAGTTGGAGGTAGACAAAAATGTTGTAGAGGGGAAAACCTAATTAGTTCTCTGCTTAAAATTTTCTAAATTTGAAAGTTTTACATGATTATGCATTGTATATGTAAAGAAGAAAATCCTATTATTTTTCCTACATTTTTATAGCATTGGGGAATTCAGAAGAGAGCAAAATTGTTAGTTATTGGAAAAACCCATGCATGTTTAGTACTCTTTGCTATTTTGTGTGTAGTTAATGTACATGTTTTCTATGACTGCTTTTACAATTTAGGAATATGAATAAATGGGTTAAGGTTCTTTGGAAAATTTCAGTCTTGTTTGTTTAATTGGAATGGCTGTATGAATAATAATTAGTACTGTAATTAGTAATATAATAATAATTAGCTCTTGTATTTCTAAACCTTTTTCTGTGGTAAGGACCCAGTTTGTTTCTTGCTTTTAAGCTGCCAGAAGCAGTGAAGATACTTGCCGTCTAAAGAGGAGGAAGTAATTCTTGTGTGATCTGATTTTGGTGGCTGATTGTACAAGTAGATTGTCAGGCTCTGGAGAGACCTATATTATGGTACCCTCTATGAGTGTCAGGGTTAAAGGCCACTCATGGTCTTTAAAGTTTATGAAGAAAATTGAGGAGGAGATGGAAAAGTTTTTCATAGGTCTTTAAGGAGAATGAAACTTGATTAGTCTCACTTGGCTTTTAGTAGAGGGTGACCATTTGTTTGCCTGTATTAACTTGTACTTTTTATAATACCTCTTTTGCAAAGGTTTTTACTGAAGACACCAAAGTCCTAGAGATAAGCCAGCCATATGCCATTACACAGAGAGAGGCTGGTGATGGAACTGCACCAAGCAAACGCAGGAGGATTGAATTGGGATGGGAAGTAATTCGAGGCAATCTTCAGAGATCACAGAATGATTTTGATGTCATACCTTGGTAAAGACACCTACATTCTTTTACTCTGGAATGGAAATCAGTATAATTAGCTTATTGATAGTGTTATTATGTAAGCTGTGGGGCATGAATTTCTAAATTTTACACTGAATTTTCCTACTGAATACCTTGTGCTGTGGAGGAGAGGTGTTCTGATGTCAGAATGATTAGCATGGGTTAGATTACTAAATAGTGCACACGGGGATGTTGTCATGGAATTGGAGCAGTGTTTCCATAGCACTTGAAAAATCATGACCCATGTCCTTTTCCTTGCTTTATATGTTTAGGTCCAGTACTGAAATAATAGTGAGAAGTAATAACTTTCACACACTTTTACTTCTGTGGCTAACAAGTCAGTATGTAAATAACATGTATTATTGAAATAAGAATACAACTACTCGCTTTCCTGTGCAGGGTAGTGGAATGAGTTGTGTTAAGCATTAATGACCCATGGTGAGATTCTCATCCCAGCCCTTGTTTCTCCATAGCAGGACTGGAGCAGTGTATAGCAGACCTGAAAGCCCATAATAAATAGGAAGGATTTCTTGATTTAGTCCCTGTAGAAAACAGCCGTATGTCTGCCATCTGTGAAAGGTTTCTTTACAAGCTGTTGATATAGGAATGTACTGGGCAGGGCATTATGCTGTGGGAATTATGACTAGTTCTACAGCTATTGCAGCTTCATGATGCTGTTATAAATTAGACAGGCCTCTAGCTAAATTTTGCTAGGAGCTTCTCCAACTTCTTCCTATCCTGGAAACGCCCCAAAATTAGGAGAATATAAAAGTGACTTGAAGTCACATTAGTCTTTGGCTTCCCTTGCATCATAAAATCTTATCCTTAGTACTTTACTTTGTTCAAAGCAGATGCAAGTTTTAAAATGAAACAAGTTGAGATAAACTTTCATAATACAGTTTATGTTTAACAGAGTCCTAATTGGAGCACCAGACCTGTTAGAGGTCAGACTAAAAGTACTGAATCAAAATAAGCTTGGATTTTTGTTTTTGTTTTGTTTTTGTTTTGTTTTTTTTAATTATAAGATAGATTTTACAGGCAACATAACTGTTTCTGTAGTTTTTCAAATGTCAGTGAAAATGGTTATTTTTAGACAGATAAACTTAAAAATGGTAATGTTTTCAGACGTTCCAAAAATGACTAAAGTACGTGAGTCCTGTTTTGAAGTCATAAATCAGCTCATAGGTCCCAATGAGAACCAGAAGTGTTTGAATCCCAAATAATGCAATACTGAATTTATTTCAGGTTTTGACACTCTTGCTTTTTTTATCAAAACTGTAACAAACAAACAGAACAGAGTTGCAAATAAATTGGATTTTTAAGGTAGTCAAAGAAATGTAATAACAGTGGAAGGTGTTAGGTTAGTATTAATTTATTAGTAAAATGTTGGATATAATATAATGTGATGCCTACTTAGGTGTTAAGGTTTATCTGTTGAGTACTGCTGTTACATTCTTACTTTTATTACAGGTATGTCACCAAGATTGCTCAAATATTCACAAAATCCTTGTCTCTGTTATAACCTCACTTTCTCTTCAAAAGCTAGTATCTCCTTTCTCTCCCCTTAAGCAGTTTAATCTGCAGCTAATGGCTTTTATAAAGCAATTTATGTATTATCCTTTCTTCATGCAACTGTTTGAGAAAGCTAACTTTCCATATCGTGGACATTCAGTGATGTAGTGCCTTATAGGTTAAATCTGCTCAGTTCACCACTAGTTAGGCTTTATTTTATTATTTATTTTTTCTCTTCTGAATTTAGACTCTCTGTGCTTGACCACTGTACCATGATATTTAGCCTTTATTTACAAGCTGAGGGGACAGCATTAGGCTCTCTCTATTCCACTACCAAGAGAGTGGGGTAGAACAGGAACGGGCAATTATTTTGGGCAGAGGGCCACTTACTGAGTTTTGGCAAGCTATCAAGGGCCGCATGACAGGCAGCCCAGGGCAGATGAATTTTAATTTTTTTAATATTTTAGGGGCCCCCAGGCCAGATAGAATAGCCTGGCGGGCTGCATCTGGCCCCCGGACCGCATTTTGCCCTAAGAATGTAGTCTTAGGTACCCAGGTTGTATTGTGAATCCCAGTTTGGAAGCTGAGTGTCCAAAAGACAGGTATGGCAATGTGCAGTGTTGGGTTTAGACCTACCTGACACATCTTGCAAAACATAAGTAGGGTGTGTGATATTGGACAGGCTTTTTCTAATTATTTGGAAATGGCAGTGTCACCAGTATCTGAATAAGATATTCTGAACATCTATGTGATCATAGTTAAAATATCTTAAAATACAAGTAAAAACAATTTTCTAAAATGCTTTTCAACACAGAAAGCATACAAGGTTCTTTGGGTAAATCCAATATCTTTTATTAGATCAACTCAAATAGTTGGTCTAATAAATACACATCCCTTTCAACACGCAATAAATTTCTGTATATTTCAGATTGATTGCTTTATTTTCTGTTTTCAAGGTTACAGATTGCAACTCGATTGATATCGAAGTATCCTATGAGTCTTCCTACAAATGAACTGCCTCTCTTACTCACTATACTGCACCAGCTACTGCCTCAGCAACGACGAGGGGAACGGACCCCCTATGTGCTCAGGTGCCTTGCAGAAGTTGCTCTCTGTCAGAACCAGAAAAGTGATTTGAAAAGCTCACTGATTTTGGAGCTGCAGAGAATCTGGACAAAAATTTGGTCTCTTACAGTTCGCAGCATAAGTTTTCAGCAAATTGAAACAGAAAGCTTTGGGTTACTTAGAGCCATAATTCAAGGAAACCTTGTTGTATTAGACAGAGAACTCTGGAAGATGTTTTTGGGATCTGCATGCAAGCCTTCAAGGTAAGGTTGAAGTCAGATGTAATGTCTTGTGTCTCTGATTCAGATCAATCCAGTTGTTTTTCCTCCATGAGCAGAACTGCAGTTTTTGTTACTCAGAAGGTAGGTCAGGTTGGCACACAGAGACTAACTGATTCAGGAAGGCATGAGCTTTTGTAGGCAACAACCTTTTTTCAGATGCTGCCTGTAAAAATAAATAAATAAATAAAAGCTCACATGTCTCTTAACCAGTTGGTCTCAGAGGTTCCACCCTCTCCTACCTTCTGCCTGACTTCAGACTAACATGGCTACATTTGTTACCACAGCTATATTTTAGTTTTAAAGAGCTGTCTACATTTGAGCAATAACTTCTTGAAAAGTGCATTTTAACTTGGTTTAAGTTTGAAAGTTGAAAAGAAGAAAACAGGACAAACTTCTTAAAAACAAAATCTGGCTAAAATTGATTCATTCTGGGTGTTTAAAACAAGGTAAAGCATCTGTTCTTATTTCCTTGTAATCTCACTTCAGAGCGCTTCAGATCTAGAATAATGAATGTTTAATATTCAGGCTTATAATTATTATTTGTGACATTTAGAGCTGCCTAAGCTGCATAAATACAGATTGAGCATACCTCCCAGTGCTGGCTACTGAGTGTAAATCAGATTGCTATTTCCTCAAGTTACCCTGTGTTCTGTTCTGTTCTGTTCTAGTCCAGCTGCATGTTGTTTGGCTTCAGTGATGACTGCCTGTGTTGTACCAGAAACACTGGAAGTAGGAAAGGTGCAGAATAATTGTGAAGGGAATACAGGTTACCTATTAAAAGAATCAATAATGAAATGGCTACTATTCTGCCATTTGGAGGAGGTGATGGATGACTCTATGGAACTATCTCCTATACTGTGCAGGTAATAACTTTTGGAGCATAATCTACCCTATGAATAAGATCAAACTATAACGTATACATTCAGGCAGGGAGAAACAAAATATTAGAGTAGTTATGTGTTGCTAATGTTTTGGTACAGTTTATATATCTGTGTTAATTTTCTGCAATGTGTCTCAAACATTTTGGGGGGCAATTCAATTAATTTTTTCTTCCCTGAATATAAAAAAAATTGCTTTATAAATATTAGGAATGAAAATTCTTTGCACATTTTACAGCTAGAATTTTCTGGCTTGATATCTCCATTTTTGCATTGACTAGAATCAAATTAAACTTCAAATAACAAGTAGTAATATATTATATAGATTGCAGATTGGCTGAGGGGTCGCACTCAGAGGGTAGTGGTGGATGGGTCATATTCAACCTGGGGGGAGGTGGGTAGCGGAGTCCCCCAGGGCTCGGTCCTGGGGCCTGCGCTGTTCAATTTCTTCATCAGCGATCTGGATGATGGGGTGGAAAGTAACCTGTTTAAATTCGCTGATGACACCAAAATTTGGGGGGAGGTGAGCACGCTAGCAGGGAGGGAGAGATTGCAGAGGGATCTGGATAGGTTACAGGGGTGGGCTAACAGGAACAGGATGCGTTTCAATACGGACAAGTGCAGGGTGCTGCACTTGGGCAGTAGGAACCAGCAGCACACTTACACAATGGGGAACTCCCTACTCGAGAGCACGGAGGCAGAAAGAGATCTTGGAGTCATTATTGACTCCAAGATGAACATGGGCCGACAATGCGAGGTCATGGTTGGCAGGGCTAACCGGACCTTGTCGTGCATCCACAGGTGCATCTCGAGTAGAGCCAAGGAGGTGATCCTCCCCCTCTACGCGACGCTGGTCAGGCCACAGCTGGAGTATTGTGTCCAGTTCTGTGCGCCCCATTTCAAGAGGGATGTGGACAACATGGAGAGGGTCCAGAGGAGGGCCACCCGCATGATCCGGGGACAACAGGGCAGACCCTACAGTGAGAGACTGCGGGACCTGAACCTATTCAGCCTCCACAAGAGAAGGCTAAGGGGGGACCTGGTGACTGTCTATAGACTCACTAGGGGGGACCAGAAGGGTTTGGGGGAGACGCTGTTTCCCCTAGCGCCCGCTGGCATAACAAGGAGTAATGGGCACAAGTTGATGGAGAGGAGGTATAGATTGGACATCCGCAAAAACTACTTCACGGTTAGGGCGGCTAGGAGCTGGAACCAACTTCCAAGGGAAGTGGTGCTGGCCCCTACCCTGGGGGTCTTTAAGAAGAGGCTGGATGCCTACCTGGCTGGACTCATTTGAGTCCCGTTTCTCTTTTGGGGTTTTTTGTTGTTCTCCCGCCCTGGCGGGGGGTCGGGCTAGAAGATCTACTAGGTCCCTTCCGACCCTTAATCTATGAATCTATGAATCTATATAATGTATACTGTTACTCCTCAGTGTAACTGATGGGTTATACCCCAAGTTTCCATTTGTTCAGATAGTAGTCTTGAACAGACATGCATTTTAAGGTTTCTCATTATTTTGAACATTAGCTTAAGCTATGATGTTCTTATACATGACCAGGAATTCGTGTTTTCCGTTTCCCATGGAAAAACAGGAAACCCATGGATTTCCAAGTTTAATCGGAGAAAATGCAGATTTTCCCTTTTAGCAGGGAAACCTGCAGATTTCCCCCTTTTGCAAAGAGCTCTGCAGGCTGGCAGAGTTCCAGCCTTCAAGAGCTGTTTGCAAAAGGGGTGGGAAGGCCCCAGCCCTGCCCAGAAGGGGAGGGAGAGAGAGGGGAAGGGCAGGACCTGACACTTTCACTTACTGGAGGCTGCCTCAGGAGGAGGATCACTCTTCTTCATTCCTGGAGGTAGGTGAGGCTTGGAGGTTGCGGGGCAGGGCTAGGAGGGAAGCTGGCTGGGGGCTGAGGGACCGAGGATGTGTTGAGGGAAGACGTGGAGTGCTTGCCGGCCAGTGGGCACTCCTGGTGGGACTTTCCCCTTCCTCAGCCTGGGGAAGTGGGGGGGAACAGAGCGTGCCTGAGGGCATGGAGGCAGAGGGGCCAGGGGCATTGCCTGCCCCCCACCTCAGCTCATTCTGTGCCCGCTCTCAGGAGCAGGACGGGAGGGGGTGAGGGCAGCAGTGCCCCTCTGTGGGCCACATATGCACCTCCTGGCCAGGGGGAAGGGAGAGCTCGCACATGGTTGCTGCCATCGCTGCTATACCTTGCACCACTTGCCTGCAGTTGGCGGCGGAAAAGCTGCATGGGACGCGGGTTGCGGTGGTGTGGCAGTGGCCACTGCATGTGAGCCCCCCCGGCTGAGCAGGCATGTGAGGCCCACATAGGGGCACTGCTGCCCTCACCGCTGCTCTGGGCAAGCAGTGTGGGGCATGGTGGCGGCAGTGCAGTGGTGCTGGCGGCTGCTGCCACATATGAACAGAGGTGCAGTGTGGGGGCAGCTGCCGGCAACACTGCGATGGCGGCCGCCAGCAGCAGTGGCCACAGCAGTGTGGTGGCAGTGGCAGCCACTGCGTGTCAGTACCACTGCATTGCCACCACCACCACACCCCGCACCACTTGCCTGGAGCAGGGCCAGGGGGGTGAGTGTAGCGGTGCCCCTCTGCGAGCTGCACATGCCCACCTGGCCAGAGGGGAGCAGGGGCTCGCACGCGGTGGCAGCTGTGTGGTGGTAGTGGTGGCTGCTGCATGCATCCTCCCTTTCCCCCCAGCAGGGCAGAATGTGTGAGGTCTGCAGAGGGGCACTACTGTCCTCACCTCTCCTGGCCCTGCTCCTGGGAGCGGGCATAGAGTGGGCTGAGGTGGGGGATGGGGGGGCACCATTGTGTGTCACATGGAGCTGGCAGTGCCCCTTGCTCCTCCACTGCTGTGGCCCAGGTAGCGCTCTGTTCCCCCCTACACATGTTTGCCTGTCTGGGCTGAGGGAGGGGAAGGTGTTGGGGAGAGCCCCACCAGGAGTGCGCGCCGGCCGGTAGGCACTCCATGTCTTCCCCTAACACATCCTCGCTCCCTCAGCCCCCAGCCAGCTTTCCCCACGGCGGTGGTGGTTGCGTGGTGGCGGCTGCCATGTGCGAGCATTCCCCCTCACTGACCAGGCAGCACATGGTGTGGCCTACAGAGGGGCACCATTGCCCTTGCCCCACCCCTTCTGGGAACGAGCACAGAGATGCATTCCTCCCTCACTCTCAATCTGCCCCCCCCCCAACCCCTTCCTTTTTCCCATTACCCCCCCACACACACACACTTACCTGCTGGGGTGTGTTTGTATGTCTGTGTGTGTGTTTGTCTGTGTGTCTGTGCCTGTGTATGTAGGGCTGGGGGGCTGTTTGCAGGAAGTGAGGGGCACAAGAAGGGGTGGGGGGCAGGGGCTTTAATTTTTATCACGGATTTTAGTTTTTTTATCAGAGAATTTGTGATTTTTTTTTTATCAGGGAAAACCAGGGTGACATAAGTATGCTATCTGGTTATATAGCATCTTTTTATCTGAGGAATACAAAATACTGTAAAATATTAAAACTGGTAGCATGTCTGAATAAACCAAGACAGGTGGTAACTTCCCTAAGGTCATATAGAGAAACACGAAACTCTTGGTTCAGAGGTGAAATCTTTTATTAGACCAATTACTTTTTAGTTGGCCTAATAAAAGATTTCACCTCTAAACCAAGAGTTCTGTGTTTCTTTTTCTCAGACCAGTATGGCTACAAAATAGATCCCTAAGGTCATATACTAAGTCTTATATTAAATATATGCAGAATTCAGAATGCACTTAGCCCTGTGCTCTAATGTACAATAATAAAGTTAGATATGAAGCTAGGAGTCCTGATTAGCAAAGTGTAGTAATGTTTCTCACATAAATTTTGCCTCTGCTTGAAAGCAACCCTAAGTTTTCTTGTCTTTACAGTGATTTCCCGCATCTAGTGCTGCAGAAAATTCTTGTGAGCCTTACTATGAAGAACTGTAGAGCTGCAATGACTTTTTTTCAAAATGTTACAAAATGGTATGTTTAATATTTGTCATAAATAGATACTGATGATCCTTAGTAGCAATATTTGTAGGGGGGAACTCCATGTTTTTTCTGAGCTACTTATCCTCAGGTTGAGCCACTTCACTGTTAAGATTTTCCTTGCAGTATCTCTGATGGAAGACTCCGTTCCTGATGACTGTCATGTCAGTCTGGAGATCCAGGCCCTGTCTAGAGACAGACATTGCACATAAACCGGTTTAAGTGATCAGAAACTGGTTTAAACCTGTAACAGAACAGATGTTCAGCGCATATAAACCAGTTTGGAAATGGCTAAAACCAGTTTGAGAGAAACCTGGTTGAATGTAGAACCAGACGTAACTGATTTGTGTCAAACTGGTTTATGCAATGTCTGTCCAGACCCCTTGCTGGTTTAAGATAAACCAGACTCCCCCAGGATCCTGGCCTGCTCTCTGGGCTTGGTGGAGCTCTCTGCTTCACAGCAAAGCTGGCCCCTCCCCTCTGCTCCCTGGCTGGAGGCCCGCAGAGACTGCAGACATATGCCTGGCTTCCCTCTGCCCCCACCTTCCCTCCCCACTCCTTGCTAAGCACGAAGTGCCTGGTTCCCTCTGCACTACACAGACACCTCTCAGCATTAGCTAGCAGACCACATGCTGGCTACGGTCTATGCTGTGGCAGATGGGACAAGGGCAAAATCAACAGGTAGCTGGTAATGTCCTTCTGTTGTTTTCTTGAGCTGATAAACACTGAGTTAGGGGTGATTAACACTGTGTTATCAATTACCTGCTGGGCTGGTCAGAACGAGGGAACCCCTCCCTAATCAGAGCGTCTTGCTGGGACGTGGCCATGCCCTTCTCAGTTCAGCCTTGTGGAAGCGAAGGGAGGGCTACTGTAGTGTCCCCCAGCTTCTAGCCTGAGCCATGTCTCGGATGTCTGTGCAGTTACAAGCTGATTCAGCCTAGCCAGGTTAGACTAACCTGCAAAGATTTAATCAATTCCAGCTCAGGCTTTTTGAATGTCTGTCCCTAGCCCCTGGGGTCTTCCTATGCCCATGCCACAGGTTTTTGTCAGATGTAATCTCTGATTTCCAGTTAAGCGAATCTGTGAACCTACTTGTGTTTTCCCCCAAATCCCAGTTTCCTCTGGGAGATGAGGCTATGTTATTGAGGAGCTAAGAATGCCAGTGCTCAGTCAATTTCTGCCTAGAGACTGTCCCAGTGTATTGAATTTGCATGCTATTTGGGAAGTAGCTGACAGCTCAGGACCAAGTAGATGTTGGGGGATATTCCACCTAGTTTAAGGCAGCCTGTTTCAGGTGGAAACAGGCTGCCTTGTGGGAATGAGTGGCATGGGGCCAGTAAAGGTACTATATTAAATTGGTCAGTACATGCTTATATGCAGGATTATTCTCTGGATTTAGCCTTTGCTCACCTGTTCAATTTAGAGTAGCAGTTTTGTAGTCTTTAAGTAAGTTTATCCTTTAGATTTGGAGACTGCTAATCAACTTTTGTGCTAGTCAGTGTAGGCAGTCCTTTAGGGTAACTGGTTTTGATGTTACCCTAAAGGACTGTTTTTAAATGATTTCCTCCATGGATCCACACTGTTCATTCTTCTTTCCTTTGTACCTGTAGTCTTAGAATAGATCCACGACTTTTGAGGAAGGAGCACCCAGGGTGCTCAGCCTCTAGCCTGCGAGCCAGATACAGCCCACAGAACAAAGTCATGTAGCCCACAGTGGACCTCATGAGGTCTAAAAAATTGGCCGCCAAGGAGTGTTGGCAATATTAATTGCTGCTTCCCTAGATTTCCAGACTCAAGGAGAGCCCTGTTGGTCAATTGTGTGGACCAATGTGCCAGATCAGGTATAGGACAGGATCTGGGCAGCTCAGGACCTGTCAACACAGACTGGCCCCATGCCATTCATTCAGCCCACAGTCCTGAAATGTTGAGCACCACTGAGCTAGACACTTTTCCAGTTGCCTCCCTTTTTATACCCACCAGTAGAATAGAGTATGTGAAGATTTAAATGACATTTAAAAGTAGTAAATGACAAACAGAACCTTGCTGAACACTGTTTTCCAGGATGTTCCAATTTCACACACTACAGTTTGTTCACACATTTTGCTTACAGTGCAGAGTCATCTCAGAATAATCTCAGACTCAGGTTAAATGGCAGTATTCAATATTTCAAATTTTTAGACCTCCTGAGTAGCACCGTGGGCTACATGACATTGTTCTGGGGCTGGATCTGGCCCACAGACTGGAGGCTGAGTACCCTGGGTGTTCTTTCCTCAAAAATCATGGATCTATTCTAAGACTACAGATTTTCCTTATGAACAGGGTGAAAGTTTAGCCATTGATTGGAAGCATGAAAAACTATTTTATTTTATTCCTATGCACGTTGCTTGTATTTAAGCAGTGGTTTCAAAGGCTGCAGATAGTGTCATAGTAAGAGTAACTTTTTTTTTTTTTTTTTTAAGTGTTCAACATACAAAAGGAGAAGTTGGGTTTTCAGAAGTTGAAGAGCTATATCTGCAAACAACTTTTGATGACATGTCCATTTTCACCAGCCCTACAGTGAATGCTGCAGATAAAAACTTGCCCAATTTAAGACTCACTGTCAGCCAACACCTTAGAGAAACACTGGAGCGCTATCTTTTAGTGGTATCAGAACAGCTTTCAAATATCTGTTCTTCTGAGGTGAGTTAGAAATGAGTGTTGAAGTCCCATATCTTTGTACTGCTGATACCTGTATTTTCAGGTTACTTCAGCAGTTTTCTTTTTAAAATTGAATGGCAAACAATTTTTGATGGTTGTTACCAGCACCTCTGTTCTAGTGTGAAGTATTTCCCTGTGATATAGTCCATAATACATTTAGTTCTCCAGAAGAGTTACGTGGAAATTGTTATATAATACAAAATATGGAGATATGAACAACATTACTGATTAAACTATTTTTCTCCTTATAGTTTTCATCCTCCTTAATCAGTCATTTTTAAAGTACCTAATTACATTATAAAGTGAGATCCTGACCTCATTTTGTTGATGACAGAATTCTCATTAATATCAGCGTAGTCAAGATTCACCCAAGTGTTGTACAATATCTTGTGTAGGGGGAAAAAGGGTTTTGAACTTTTCCATTCCTTCAACAAGGTGGGACTGGTAGTATCATATTGGTATTCCTCTAGGAGCTTGCTGCTAAGCTTTGGAAAATAGAGGGAGACAGTAGTGTTAACCAGAGATTAGAGAAAAAGACTGAGACTCCTGAGTTGTAAGTTTTATTCCTGGTTCTGCTAGTAAACTTTGGAAAACAACATAGTTACCGTGCCCCTCCAAGTTTAGGTGTCAGATAAAAAGACTTACCTATTTTATAAAAAAGCCCCTCTATTACACTCCTATAGAGTGCTTGAAGGTCTTTTATTGAAACATTGTATTTTAGAAGTACAGTATTCATTTTAAGTTTTTATATAATTAAAAAGAATTCAAGAATGCTGTGTGCTACTGAAATACATTTTAATGTAAAATTTATTTATATGTAATTTATTTCAAGCTTACTACTGCAGAACACCTTGTCCGAGGTGTCAGTCTCTTGACTGGTGTTCTTGGCTGTTATTGCCACATTGGCACAATAACTGAAGAGGATGCCTGTAAGTCGGATTTATTTCAGAAAGCTAAAGTAAGTAGCAACTTTTAACTGTAAAATTATTAATATAATTATAAGGAGAAAAACTTTATATTTTCAGCTCACAAAAAAATTGGTTCCACTGACTTCTACTTCTAACAAATCACTGTAGTGTTAGACTTCAATATGTACCAAATATACTATGAGGGGCTAGGTTTTATGCTTTTACTAAAACAAATTTTCTTAAATTAAACAGATAACACTAACATTGTTTCAGTGCACCAATAGGCCTTCTCTTATTTGAAGTTGAAGTTATTCTAAACGTGTATCATGTCTCTTCATCATTTTTTAGAAAGTTGTGAGAAATCTAAACTATCAGGAACCAGATGGCAAAGGAGTCCATTAGCAGGATAGTGGAGCACTTAACACCTAGGTTTTTCAGATTCTTGTTGCTAAAGAATGGAAGTCACAGAACATATTCTTAATATCTTTAGTTACCTGGCGATCCAGTTTTAGTTCTAATAGATAGATACAGATACAGATTAAGCCACAGTCACAAACAAAATTATTTAAATCTTTTGTCCAAAGCCTGAGCAAAGGTCAAGGACTTACTTAATGAATATAGAGACTGAATGGCCTTACCACTAGCTGTGGATCAGCATTCAAGTACAATATCATGTCATTGGTTCTTTGGATAAATCTGATATCTTTTATTAGACCAGCTCAAATAGTTGGAAAAATTCTTCCTAGCAAGCTTTTGGGTGTAAATACCCTTCGTCAGGCTAAAGAAGCATCACAAAGGGTATTTGTACCCAAAAGCTTGCTAAAAAGTATTTTTCCAACTATTTGAGCTGGTCTAATAAAAGATACTAGATTTACCCAAAGAACCTTGTCTGCTTGTGTCCTTTGACCAACACAGCTACAACCTACACCACTATATTATGTCATTGTCTTTTTCTTCTATGACTAGAAAATTCAAGTTTCAATCTGGTCTTTGTGGTCAGTTTGACATTTTGGAAACAACTCTTATGTAACAATAAAAGACAAAACAAACCTTTCATCGAAAAAATCCAGTAACTTAAATCCTGAATACTGGGACTTAAACATGTATTGGAACCATATGTCCTTATGGCCACACATGCATGCAATTACATAAAAGCAATATGTGATTGAGGAATTTCTACTCCACTGGATTTGTATTTTTTTTTTTAATAGACCCTCATGCATTATGTTGGAGAAAGCATTTTTCAGTCTAAAAATAAACTAAATGAAGATCCAAGGATTAATTCATTGAGGAATTTGATAACGCAATGTTCCAACTGCTTATGTAACTGTACCAAGGTAGGGTATCTAAATTAGTTGTTCTGGTTGTATTTTATTCTATAATATCATGTGTAACCTAACTGTAACTTTTAAAAAGCAATTGTAATGTATTTTTAAAGTTCTAAGATCTATTTATGACATACACATTTACTGATATACATTTTCTGTAGAAGCTTTTAGAAATCTAAGGTTGCATGGTTAAATCAAGATATGCCAATTATATACATACACATAATTTTCAATCTACTTCCTTGTGTGTATGTGCTATAATAGAGTCTTAATACACAACTGTATGCTGTTTCTCAAAATCAATACAATATACTTTTTTCCTATAACCTTAAATATGTACTTATATTACAAGTTTTTTTACACTTACATATATTTCATTATTCTAATAGATTGGATTTACTTTTCTAACTGTTTTTTCCTGCAAGTTCTCTGGTCTTTAAGCCATGCATTTTGTACTCTGTTCTCTTGTCAGCCAACAGCATTTCTTTCTTAGGTAAAGTTTAAAGAACTGAGCAAGTGGTTATGAATTTAACTAACTCAAGTGATTTGTACATGTTAGGGCCCTGACAGATGTTAGCTTTATGTAATACACAACATGACATATTCAACCAGTTTGTGACACCATAAAATGGAAAACCAGCCACAAAGATGTTCTATTTTACATGCCTTCCATTGTATGCAGAACATCTTTGTGGTTATTTTCCATTTTATGGTGTCACAAACTGGTTGAATGTGTCATGTTGTATATTAAGTAAATGTAACGTCTGTTGACAATAAGTGTATTGTTAGCACGTGGGGGGACTGCCCCAAATCTAGAACTGGGTGGGTAGCTTTGGGGCTCTCCATGACCTGGCAGATTTGTTCTCTTGCCCTGCTGCCCCTGCACATGCAGGTCACGCAATTTTGGCAGGTCGCACAATTTTGGTATAGGTCATAAAAGTCCTCAGAACCAACTCCCATGAGCCTTAGCAAGCATTTAGTTTTGCTCCATACTTAATTTAGACTAGGAGTACATTTTACTAGATATTTCTAATAGCTATGACTAATAGACTGTCTGAAGTATATAGACTATGATACAGCATTGCGAGTTATTACAGCAGGGGTGGGCAATTGCTGTGGGTAGAGGGCCACTTACTAAGTTTTGGCAAGCCATTGAGGGCTGCATGACAGGCAGACCAGGGCAGATTAATATTAATTTTCTACATTTTTTAGGGGCCCCGCGGGCCAGATAGAATGGCCTGGGGGCCGCATTTTGCCCACCCTTGTATAACAGCCATTTTTTAAGGTATAGAAAAGTTGGATGGTGTATTATTTGAGACGTGATGTCAGCTGGTACAAATTGGAAAAATACTGAATTAAAAACCCGGAAGACAACACAGTGGAAAGAAATTCTGTCTTTAGACTATCATCAACCATTATTTAAGACTTATGGTCAGGTTATTGAATAAATAAATTATGCTGCTGTGATTCAGCTGAGAATCTTGCCTAAAGTGTTCATGAAATCAGATCATAGTATTGTGTCACTAGAGAGAAGAGTGTGACTGAGCATTGAATCTTAGGATGGAAACACGTCACCTTACATCACCTTTGTGTTGCCATAAGAATTTTTATGGCAGCAAAAAGGCAAAGAAGGCTTAAGTCCATGTGCCTTATTATACTACAAATGCCCCAAATTTGTGGTTGGGACAAAGGTGGTATGAATTTCTTGCTACTTAGTGGTGGCCTTGTATTTTCTTTGTGATGGGAGAGCCTGGACAGCCCAGAGCTGCCTACATGCTTCAGCTACCCTGAGTAGGTGTTCTGGGAGCATAAGGAGCCCCAGTCCTGCACACCTCAGAAATTCCCACGCCAAATTGGCTCCTCCAGCCCCAGAAGCTCCTTCCCAGCTTTTCTTTCTTACAGATATTCATTCAGGGGAATCCAAGGACATTTCTCTATAAATGGGAAAAATAGGGTTTCCCACTTGCACAGACATGTTGCTAGATTCTCTGGGATGTGTCTGTAAGCAAGAAAGCTGGAGTTTCCCTCCTTACAAAGACGCATCTCCCACAGAGCTGCATTTTTATTAATCTCTGTTTCATGTATTCACAGGATTGGATAAATCCAGTTCTTTGCTAAGAACAAAATAACATGGTGCATGCTATGATAACCAGCCTTTTGTTTTGTCACATTTTGTTTTTGACAGAGCAGTCCAAGTAAGGTCTTATCTGGCTTATTCCAGTGTTTGTTAACATCAAAGCTGATGAATGATCTTGTAGATATTTGCGAACATCTAGTAAGTATATTTCTCAGTATTTCTAAGTGTTACATTTGGTAAGAGGCTCATTTATACAGCATATATAACTTGGAGGCAAAACATGAGATTTCTATTTCTGCAAAGAAATAGACATTAAAATATATAAAATTTTAAGAATATTTCAACTCAAAATGTTTGTTAATGTATGTTTGTAAACTGGGAGAGGAAGACAATGCTATATCATAGTGCTTGGAAAATAAATATTCACAAAAGAAAAAACTTTTGTAGTGAGATTGGTGCTCCTGCTACTGGTAAAGAAAGCAGGCTGCAGGTGAGGCAGAGGGCAATCAAGGGAGCTGCATGACTCAAAAGGAGCTGGGCTTGCAGAATAGAAGACCAGGACTTGACCTGGGTTGTCAGTCTAGTCCTGCAGGCCATGGAGGGAAGAGCTTCTGAGCTGGCAGCAGGGGGAGCCTCTGATAAAGCATCCCAACCACTTGAGGTAAGACAGCCTTAGGGGAAACACTAGTGGTTTAGGGATTGAGTCTTTAGGGGTTGTAGAGGTCTCAATTGGCCTAGGGGCAGGGCCAGGACTCGAGGGATAGGGGGAAAGTCCAAGGAGCAGGGCCACAGCTGCAATGATGAGATCAGGCAGGGTTGTGGACTCACAGCCCATGAGGGGCAGGAACCAGGGTCAGGTCAGGGATCCATGGGCCAGGGGCCCACAGCCCAGGAGAAAGAGTCTATCAGAGGTAATGAGGCCAGATCCCAGGAATAGCAGAGGACAGAGTCCTGGGCCCTGGAGGGGCCAGGAGAGGTTGGGGTACAGTTAAAGATGCCTGAGCCCAGGTGGAGCAGAGAATGCAGACCTAAGCCCAAGAGAGGTTAAGATTGTTCAAGGTTCAGGAGGGGCCAGAACAGTTAAAGGCATCAGGGCTGGAGGTCCCAACAGTGGCAGTGACTGTTCCATGTTTAGAGGCCTGCATTGACTGGAGTTGTCAGTGGGGCTGAAGGCCCATGAATGAGAGATTGACTGGATTGGACAATGGGACTTCATGCCCAATGACTGATAATATTTGTGAGGTTTGGGCATGGTTATAAAGAGAAAATGAGGAGGCCAGTTAATTAGCCCTTAAGGTGATGAACAGTGATACCTGCATTCATGAATATGAGATCTTGCTTGGGGAGCCTTGGGGCAGCCTCCCTTTTTTCTGAAAGCATAATTACATCAAGCCATGGCAGGAAAGTTAAAGGGGAGATCACCCTAAGAAAGTAAAAGTGACAAGGCCGTAGGGGAGCTCCAGGTGTGTTATGACCACTCCTGGGGCAGGAGGCTGTTAAAAGTTCCTGTAAACTTTTATATCTCTGTGTTGTGCTCACTGGCAAAGTAACAGAATATGGTATCATTACATTTAGTGAAAACTTTGAAACTCCATTTTTTTCATCCCAACCACTGCACCTTGGGAAGTAGTTCTACATAGGTCATGAGTTTGTCACCACTGTAAACTTACTACTAACCCTGAGTCTTACTTTGCCACTAAGTTTTCCCTTTTACTGCACATATATTGTCTCTATGGCTCTATATAACACCTTAGTTCACACTCTTAGTTCACAGTCCTTTTCCATCCCTCCAGGCAGGCTGTTTGCACTGACATGGAGGCTTTTCTCTGATATTTAGCTCAGCCTGCATCTGCTTCTTTCTTAGACCTGAGGAAGGGCATGTGATGCCTGAAAGCTTGTCCAATAGCTTTCTCAACTATACACTTGTCCCAGTGAAAGATATTGCAAAAGTCCTCACCACTGTGAACTTGTCAGTCAGTTGGTCAGCTAGTAATTATCATGTTCTGTAGTGAGGCCTTTTCTTTTCTTCCTCCAGTTTCTTTAGAACCAGAAATCAAATAGAATGAGAAGCCCACCTTAAAATATCACAGTACTGCTTAAGGAGTCTGTTAAGAATCAGGACCCCACTGTGTGCAAACAATACAGAGCAGTTCCTGCTCCAGATTCCTCACCAGACAGCTTTATGATGAGATGGGTAGATGAAACAAGTGTGACAATGTGAGGACAGTAACAGCAAAATAAAAACGTTTTGTATAGTACATTTGTATTAATTTAAAGAAACGATAACAACCATGGAAAGGTATTATGTGTCCCAGCCCTGAGTAGATTCAGTTTTATTGCTCCGAATTTTGTCCCTCCTCACCCTTTTTACTACATTGGTTTCTTTTACTGTTCTGATGCCTACATGCTGCCTTGCACCACCCTACATACAATTTAAAAAAGAATATGATGCTTTTGTCAGATGTCCAATGAAACTGGAGAAGCAGAACTAATGGAAGATGATCTTGAGGAGAGTACAATGGAAGTAGAGAACCAAGTAACCGTAGACCTATTCACTGACCACCGTACAGCTGCCATGAGTGAGACTAATGAGGCTGGTGAGGTACAAAACATAACTGGTAAGCCACATTTTTTTCCATGCACAGAATTGTTTTGCAAAAATTTAGAGTAAATGTTTTTTCAGTTTTATGGCATCTCAACATCAGATACTACATGGAACCATTCAGTTATATAATGGGATTGCTGTTAAGACAATTATCCCCAAACATAATAATTCTTAGCTCTTTGTAAGTGTTTTACAAGCATTAACATATACATTCCTGTAGTCACCTTAGCAAGGAAGAAGCAATTATCCTTATTTTATTGGTGTTAAAACCGAAGCAAAGAATTTAATTGGCTTTTCAAGGTTAAGCACTGAGTCTGACAAAATTGGGCGTAGAAATCAGGGCTCCAGATTCCCAGTCTAGCACTCTGTTCACTTGACCACAACTCCTTTTATACCTAATACCAAGGTACTTTTTTGGGCCTAAAAGTTGGTTCTATTTTACCTTTGCCTCTTCCCGTGAATAGCAAATCTATCACCTCTCTGATGAAATCAGCTTTTTCCAGTCTGGCCTAGTAGAAACCAGAGAGAAGGCTCCTTCTTATCCAGGTCTCTGGCTCTAACTCCTTTCAAGGTGTTTTGGAAGTAGCAGTGGTGATGTTATGTTTTGCTGTGAGATCAAATTTAAATTCCTTAGTTAGGTTGATGACCATTTTATGCCTTACTCAGTACTGTGAATTTTGTATTTTCAGTACAACTATGAACTTCATTCAGTCCACTTCACATTTTTTCAGTGGCAATCTTTGAAAAGCAATCTCCAGACCTGAACAAATAATAATAAAGGTTGGGCCAGAGGGTGTTGGGAACAGCAGCTCTGCATCTGCATATTGAACTGTTTTGTTTAGGTGACAGTTGAATTTTGTACGAGGTCCATTGCTATTCTGACCACCACATGCTTTGTTGGGTTGCCTTTGTAAAATGTGTGAAGTGATTTGGGGTTTTGACCAAATTCTGGGTGAGGGTATTCACATCGCAAAAACCACACTGCAAATTTTTCTGTTGACACCTTTGTGCCACACTTGATGAAGAGGCTGGGGATATGTATGGGAAATAGAGATATTATGAGAAGTAAGCACATAATGAATTAGCCTTTCTAAGAAGGCGGTCACTCTAAAACAGATGGGGGAAGCTTGAGCTACTGATGTCTGTACCTCTTCTGCACAGCAGTAGACTTCAAAGCTGTCAGTCTGAAGTGCTTAAATTAGCTGTATGCATGTGCCTAACCCTCTTGTTATATATTTGATTGTTTTAAAAGATTCATTTTTCATACTTAATAAGAAAATGTTACTTCTAGGTGCCATGAGCCCATTAGCCGAAGAACATTTGACAAAACAAGATAACCTACTTCTTGAAATTCTGAGGTTCCTGTGTATTTGTGTAACTACATCCCAAATTCATACAGTTAGCTTTAGAGCTTCTGACATACGGAGGAAGCTGTTAATGCTCATTGAAAAAAGTACGTTCGATGCAAGTAAACCACTGCATCTACACGTGGTAAGTGATTAGTGACACACTTCCTTCTTGATTCAGTAGAAACCTCTCAGTACACACATTCTGACTTTTAAAGTTGCATGTGCCCTTGTTTGCCATATTTTTAGCACCAGTCCACCAAGGAATATCTATAGTAGCTGCTTTTAAAAAATTAAAAGGTCATTAAATCTAGCATAAGATTCCTCAGGAAATAGTGTGTTGAGGCCATACGGTATCCTTCATTCAGTCCTTAGCCACTAATGGCTTGGGGGTTATATAATCCTCTTCTCTGGACCAGAGATGAAAGCTCTATTTTTACGCCTTGGGACAGTGCATTTGGATAGCAAAATATAAAATGTAACTACTTTTATAACTGTATATCATATTAATTTTTGTGAAGAAAACAAATATCAAATATCTGACATAAGTATCTTAGTGTATGACTTCTCGTAACACCGATTAAAAATGATTTTTATTTTGTGGCTTAATTTAGAAATATAGCTGATTACAATATTTTCTTATGTCTTAGTACTTGGTCCTTTTGAAGGAACTCCCAGTTGAAGAAAACATGTTGCCAGAAGAAGACATTGTTATGCTTCTCAAGCCTCTTTCGTAAGAAGTATACAAGAAAACTCATTTTTGTATAGCTGCTTTTTTCTGCTGTTTAGTTTCTCAAATGCTGTCTCTTCTTGTTTACAGTGATGTGTGCTCCATGTATCGACGAGATCAAGAAGTGTGTAAAGTAGTTCTAAGTAATTTACTCCCAATAGCAGTGGGGTTGGGCCAAGCCAGTGCAAATGCTGAAGAAACAGGAGATGCCCAAGGACAATTTTTAACAGTTGTTGGAGCATTTTGGTATGTATTAGCTATTTAAAGTAACAACCTATATTGGCCGTAAACTGTTCAGCCTGGTAGCTTAAACAAAGGATGTGATGCTGTTGTGGCACTAGCTACAGGCATCTAGTTTGTATACTTCTCCCACATGGGAACTGTTCACGGTCTCTGTTTTATATCAGTGCTAATCCTATATTAATCCTAAACTGTGCCCCCTAATCATTAAGGCTATAAATAGATATTCCATTTCTCCTTGGAGAAAGGCCTTTCTTGGGACTCTATAGATGTACAAGTCCAGTGTCCCACTCTAAGTATTACTGAAATACCCTAGATAAAATGGACTAACAGTTTTTCCCAGGACAATGCTTTATCAATCTGTAAACTAATCCCAGGTAGTTCAGTTTAATTGCCATTTATTCCAGAGACAAGCCAGTCAGAGGGGGCAGCAACGTAGCTTGGAAGGCCACAAGTGTAAAGGGCTGTGTTGCTCTTCTTTTATTTCAGGTTCTGACTCAGATCAGTCAGGACCCCCTCAAATGAGACCACCATTTACTGCCTCAGTGGTCATTTAAAGCAGGGGTCTGCTGGTAGAGCCATGGTTTTACTGACATTCAGTGACGGTGGGCTCTCCCTGTCCTGCACCACCATTGGGCAGCAGGGGCTCAGGCAGAGGGAGCCATTCTGAAGCTAGCTGATTATCAGGGAGAAGTGGTGGTGGCTGGGTTAGTACCCTCCCACCTACAACCCAAGCTGGGTCATTCTGGGCCCTTCCTTGGGAAAACATAGCAGAGCCCTGGCCAGGGGCAGGCGCTGCTCAGATGGGGCATGGCGCAGGGCACAGGGCAGAGCCACGAGCAGCTCATCTGGAGGGTGCAGGGAGTGACAGTTCCGACTGTGCACACCCCAGGAGGGCATGGGGGGGAGCGTGTGCCCTCGGATCTGCATGTGGGGTGGGGTGTGGGTGGGCTGGGACCAGGGCTGCTCTGGCCTGTTCCCAGCAGGGGCTGGGCTGGGCTGTGCTTGGGGTGGATGGTGGTGGCACTGGGAGGGGGCTACAGAAAGGGCTGCAGCCACCCCAGAATTCACTGTAGCCTC